ACTTTAACTAACAAAAATCTAGTCAAAAATTGCTCTTAAAGATTTTAATTAACAGTGTTAAAATTTTTAGGAAACATTATTTAACTTAGTTTTGTTTTTTTTTTTAAATGTATACCACTATTCTTATATTTTTAAAGGAATTTACTGACATTTCTACATTAAATCACTTGCAGAAACTGCACCATGTCTTTATTACCCGATAATTCTCCCAAGATCTCCAAACGTGGTGGAACATAAACCACAATCGCACAAAGTCTTAGTTAAGTTGATATCGGAGTGTAAGTGCAGTTGAGTCAGCACCGATTGCAAAACGCTTCTCCCGCTCTCGTCGCCAATCCCGCATCCTTTGCCGTAGCAAATCCAGCGAATAATATCCGGCAGCAAGGACTGAGTTTAGGTTCCTATGCAATTCATCAGCGTTCGCAGGAAAACGTGATTGCGGAGCAGCAATTAATTTCGCCTACAGCTGCAGGCTTCGAGACTACGAACTTTGATTCAACGGTCACTTCTGGCTGACTTTAACCTTTACCGGAATTATTATTGATGATTTTGCGGCAAATATGTGTCTATGAAGGTGTACGGACGTCGCTTTGAGCTGTGAAAGCTTTACCAACGTATTGATGGTCGAGGGCCAGATAAGTTTATTTATGTTCTATTGTGAATTTAAATTATTGATATTTTACAAGGCGTTAAAACATCACTTAAAGTACATTATTGATAAAAACTCTTTAGGTATGTATCTTTAACGGGCCATATAGACAGAAATATTATTTCTAATAATATACGCTTGATACTTTAACTATTATCTGTAATTTTTCGAATAATTTCTTTCCTGATTTCTGCCAATATTATTCCACATAGAATTTCTTAACTAAAATTTTTAACTTTTTGGTTTTCTTATTTTAGTATTTAGCATTAAAAGCTCTTTTTTGTTCTGTTATATAGGATAAGTTTAAGTAAAACTCTTTATTAATACCAAACTTTCGTAAAATTTATTTACCTTATCAGGATATGATAAAATAAATTTGTATTTAGTAAATAAAAGAACATTGTAAAAAAAATAAACGTAAAAACTTACAACATGAGGTTAGTCCATACATTTTTTTAGATAATCACAAAACATTAATTTTAAACTTCCTAATCTATTATTAATTGGAATGTTTTAATTTTTGTATGTTCAGAAAGTTCATGATTACATAAATAATTTCTTCTTCTTTTTCTATTTATTTTCTTGCATACTCGAGCATCGACCAAAGCATTTGTCGTATTGCAGGTCGTCTTGCACTAAGCAATGCTACAACACAAAACTTTTTTTTTCACAAATAACGGTAAACTTGAATAATTCCACGAAATGTATTCACTTAATTATAGTCAAAGTTTTCCAGACTTTCACTAAAAAGTTACTTTTGTATAAGGATGCTGAAGATAATTTAAAATAAAACTTAATATTCTTTGCACACACTTTTTCTTTGCACAATGTTTAAGACCTTTTATTAAACATGTTTGATTGATGGGGTTTTTGGTAGCAGTAACTTTTTTGTGACAGCATTCAAATTTGCTTGGTAGAAAACAGATGGAATGAGACGAATACTAGTGCCTTTGGATTCGTTTAGAAAATATAGGGACAGATATAAGGGGTCTATGTAAAGCCAGAAAAAGAAATAGGTACTGCGATTTGAAGCCCGGAAACGACACTACAGTTTTTCTGATACGACGGCTCTAATTAGCACAGTTTCAAAAAAGTAAATTTTGTGAAAAGTTGTGTGTTGTGTTTGTGAAAAGAATTTTAACTGTGGTAGTAGGCAAAAGTAGTTGAGAAGTTGGGCAAAGATTAATGCAGTTGTAGAATTGTTTTACCCAAAACGATAGGCAGAGGAGAAAAACTAAAAAGTACGAGCAAGGTGGACAAGTCACAATCGTCAGCCGTTTAAAGACAAAAGGTTAGTTTTGTCATGTAGTTAATAAAGTATTAACCACCACCATCTATTAAGATTGGATTTATTTGTTTTCAATTGTTTGTTTTTCATAATTGAAAAGTAAAGTAAATATAAACTTTTTGAGTCAGTAGTAAAAACGTAAATAAAAGAATAAAATAAGAGGTCTTCGATTTGGATATGTTTATTTAATTTTTTTATTTGTAATTTTGGGTGTATAATTTGATGGATGCTTGATTTTTAATTGTTCTGATTATCATGTTTATTAAGAATGGTATATTTTTTATTTGATATTCGAAATTTATCTTATTATCTTAGCTTATCTTGTAAATTTATTTTCCTCGTCTACTCTGTCCTCAAGGGCAACTATAAAATTAATTTGAAGCCAGATTTTTTTGTTAAATAGTAAAAGAGCCCCAAGATATCGTATTAAAATATATTTGTTTTGTAAGGGTAAGCTCAAGTAGAGATTAGTGTTGCCCAAAATTGTTCTTGCATTTTTGCAAGACCAATACTAATATGCTTAAAGACTTTATGAGATGCAAAAAATATGTAATAGAAATTTGAAAAACTGGACTTGCGCATTACGAACAATACCATCATACCGAATCAAAATATTCATTAAAAAACACATTTGACACCTGTTCAGTGGTCAGAATTACGATGTAAAAATAAAACATTCATTTACAGCAGACGACTTCTTTGCTCTGAAATTAGTTGTCCAGATTTTAAGAATAGCCGCCCTGTAATCATAAAATACTCTTATGGATATACATATAAACAGCTTGTATGTGTAAAACTTAAATCTTATTGATGCCTTTAGGTTAATGTATGTAACCAGATTATGGAATGATAGCGGAAGTATATTGATTGATAAATAAGGAAAACCTCTCAATGTACTGTCTTTTTACAGACCGATATCACTACTATCCAGAATGTAGTCCAGAATGGATCGTATGTAGGATATATAAAACATTAAAGAGATATTTTGATCTGCACCCCATCTTTTTTTATAGACGAAACGCAGAAGGTTAATTCTACGCTCGCACTTTTGTTTTACGTACTTTATATGGCTGGCTGGAGTTTTTTATCTAGGGTCATGCCAGATATTTATACTCATCTGCTAAGGGGAAATTATAATCACCTACCTAGCATTTGCCTGTGACTTTTTGTCTACGTCTAGTGAAACATACAATCGAAGATTTTTCTTGTGATATACTAAAACCCATTTGTTTCACCCACTTATCTATGTTACTAAAGCTAAGTTTTAGATTAAACATACAATCTTCATAGGATTTATGGCTGGTATATAAACATTATATATCGTCTGCATATACATGCAGATCTGCAGTATAAACAATATAATAAAGGACTTAGAATTGAGCCTTGTGGGAGACCGTTATATAATATTCTTGGACCGTGTAATACATTTCTATGGTCCCGTATATTTAATGTCCCTATGTTAATTCGTTTTTTGAGAAACAGAGTTGAATATCCGTAACTAAATGTATGAGAGCATCAATGGTACCTCGACCTCTACGAAATCCGTACTGTGAGTAGGGAAAAACTGCACTACTTTCAATAAAATGTTGTAATCTAAATTTTATAAGCCTTTCAAAGGATTTTGTTACACATGATAATAAAGAAATGGGTATATAAGATAATGGAAGTTCTGGGTTTAAGTTAAATTTCAGTAGACGGCATATGATAATAATTTTTATAGTATCGCTATATTCTTGTTTCAACTACCAACTATTAAAGATTTGTAAGAGAACATATTTGGCATTTGACGGCAATTTGTCCAATATCTTATAAGTGAAACCGTCTAAACCGGGGGCTATATTTCTGCTTTTTTTTAAGGTGAAATCTAGTTGTGAAGGAGTAAAAGTTTTTGACATGGAATCTATACTAGTATTAAAACGAAAAACTTTTTTAATCCTACCAACATTACCAGAGGCAGATGAAGGTGCAAGTTGGTCTAACATCTGTTTAATGAGATTTTCAAAAAGTTGAGGTTTTTTGTTGTACTGATAGTTATTGAAAATTGATCTGACGATTGACCATATTTACCGTTCATACCGTTTTATTTAATGTGAAATTGGGGATATTGTTAGACGAGGTATGTAAGCTGGGAAAATTGGAAATGTTATTTAGAATAGAAAATCTATTATTAGTTATTATTTGTGCGTAGCTTGGATTGTTATATAATTGCTCTGCTTCTCTGAATGTTATATTTTCTGATGCCATTATTGCTTTGGACGATATTGGACGATAAAGATCTACAAATAATTACAATTCTATACTGGCATCAAGTGGCAAGAATAAAGGTTGAACAAGAACTGTCGGATGAAATAAATATAAAAAGAGGAGTGAGACAAGGCTGTATATTGTCGACTTTACTTTTTAACTTATATTCGGAGGAAATATTTAAGGAAGTCTTAATGGAGACAACCGAAGGTATTATTGTGAATGGAGTAACCGTCAACAATATTAAATATGCCGACGATTCCTTAGTCCTTGCCAATTGCGGAGAAGACCTTCAAAATCTAATGAACAAAATAAAACAGACTTGTGATCAGTATGGATTAAAACTCAACGTTAAGAAAACTAAATATATGATAGTTAGCAAACAAAATTATATACAGGATGACGGTATAAAAGTCGGAGATGCCGCACTGGACAGAGTAGAGAAACTCGTGTATCTCGGCAGTAATATCAATGAGAGCTGGGATCCAACCGCAGAAATTAAAAGCCGAATAGAACAATCGTCAAAGTCACGATAGCGAATATGGTAGACAACATGATATCCAACGATCGATAACGGTCATGGAACTAGAAGAAGAAGACCTATTGCTTTGATTTTCTTCTGTTTCTCTGACAACGAGATGTGATCATTGGTTTTAGAATATATGCAATGATTATTTTCATAACTAGTTTCTACAGTATGGGTGGTGTCTGTACATTTTTTACATCTACTGTCCTTAGATTTACATGATTTTGAAGAGTGACCATATCTGAGACATTTAAAGCATTTCACTACCGGATGTATGTATGGATCTACATGTATTAGACATCTATTATGTTTTGTGGAACCTCGTTGTCCAAAAATCCTACAATTATTATTTGTCTTGGTACTAATTGAGTTGTTCCATCGTTGTCCGTTATTTTCCGTTGCATCCTTTGAACATTTATCACTTGCCTCTCGGTTATTATCGCATCCTTTAAATACTTCTCCGAAAAGAAAGTATCAACCATACGAACTATGCCCTTTCTTTCTGTGTGTATAAAATTTTGGAATATAAGCTATAAGATCATTTTTATTTATTACATCATGACTTTTTATTTGCTATAAAATAAGTTTTAAAAATGACTTTTACCCTATTAATGACAACTGTTTTATATCAAAACACCATTTGTAATGGACGAATCATTTGATAGAAAATGTCCTACCTTCATTGGAAATAACCTACCGATATTTTTATTTTTGTGTTCAATATATATACAAAGAGTGGAGCCTTATCGCTGGGATTATACCGGTTTCCAAAATCAATTAAAATATTTACAGACCTCCTTATCATCCATATTAGTTTTTTCAGAAGTGTTTTCAGAATGTAATTCATCGGGCGGTCTATGAGCTATAATAGCGTTTTCTTCCATAATTAGATTTTTTGGAACACCAAATTATGGACCTAATTTGCACTAAATAAATTCACATAATAAACAATAGCGATCACTTTCAAACTGACACCGAAAGTAATATCAAAACAACCGGCTTCTACGGCTATCGACATGATACTATTTTTGTTTGTTAAATGACCAGTTGTATTTAATTTTCTCAACTTTTGTATTAAATTTACCTCTATAAATAAATTTTAAATAGATTAGTAAATATTGGTAGTGACTTTACTTTACTTTAAATGTGCTTTGATTTTTTAGGATTGCTCTTTATGTTTACCATAAAAAAACATAAAGCCCCTGGATCTGATAATTTCGCTACCGCAATTTCTAACAATTTCGATCACATGCTTTTAAAACACTCATATTTTTTGACAAACCGCGCACATGACTAAAAAATTAATATTTTTTGATTGTATTTTAGGTATTAGAACATTTAGACCTTTTTATAAAGAATAACTTTTTCAAAAAACTAAAAATAAAAAAAAAGTTTCCCATATGATGCCGACTTAATTGGACACACTGTATACGCATTCCCCAATGAATCACCTGGTAGAACAAGGACACAGGTTAGCTATAGTTTTCTGAAGAATATGTAAAAACTTAAGCAAAACATTAATAATGTAGATTATTGATTAAAAGAAAAAATCATGAAATAGACTACACTTACTCTTAATAATCTAATAAATGTCGAGTACTTAAAAACCAAAATTATATTGAAAATCAGGATTTATTATTTTTAAACCGGAAATCAATAACACATACATAATACATTTAATGTACTTATTAAAAATAAACAATCTATTTTCATAAGTTATAAATAAGGTTTTGACAGTTCGGATGATATATGATCCAACCAATTACTTGGATTTACTTATTTTTAAATTTTAGCTGTATGAAATATAACCTGAAAATCAAGTTACCAAAATGTAAATCTTTCACCAACTCTTTGCAATCATCTAAATTTAACCACGTCCTGAAAAAATATGAATCCTTTAAATCAACAAAACTTCTTCGCGGGCAACAACAGAAGAGAAAATCTAATAAAAAGCGAAGAATGAATATGGAAGAGGCCACTAATTTGGCAGTAACTCCCGAACAAACTTCTCCAACTCGTAGAGAGTTCCTCGTGTGCCTGGCCAGCCCCGCTAGTTGTATCCCATTTACATCACAATCACAACAAAACTTCCCGGGACAATAATATTACTCCTTCTCTCAATTCTGAACTTTAACCTGCGACCCTGCCTTCAGGGGTGTACTGGTGTCAATTTTGTGTATTAACTGAACTAATCGTCATACATTTCTTAGTTTTTGACTTTTAATGTTTAAGACATTTTGAGAATTATATTGACATCTTCGTAGTAGTCGTCAACGTAGTGTTTATAGTTTAGTAACCTAAGGAATCGAAGAAGTAACAAGTTGTAGTAATTTTGTGTATTTTTGAGAAATGTAAATTTTTTATGGTCGGCAAATCTGAAACTGGAGTGTTCTAAAAATATTTTATTATTTTAAGGCTCTGTTAATTTAGCAATATAAATATAAAGAAGAGCATTATATTTTACAATCTGATTGGAGGAAAATAAAAAGTGAAAAGCTTGAAAATAGTTTTGACAGACAAAAGTTTTGAGGCATGAAACGTGACGAACAGCCATACTATGTGAATTTAATGACTATAAATAAACTAATAAGAGTAGCTTTATTTTTTTAAGAATGCCTTATAAAAACCAATACTATGTGATGATGGTATGGTAGCATACAAAATATGTAACGTGGGGCTTTTTGGACACGAACGCTGTATATTTGTCAATTTACGCATCACGATTTATGATAAACGGTATATAGAGTTTAATTGTTTTCCATCATCATCCAGCCTCAAAAGTCTAATGCTAAACATAGGCTTCTTCCTCGTGTTTCCAACCCCGTCTTTCTTGAGCCACTCTCATCCAGTTTTTATTTTTTCTTCTTGGATCGTCAACCCTTCGTGTAGCTGGTCAACCGACGCTTCTCTTGTACTCCCTTGGTCTTCATTCCAATAAACTTTTTGTCCATCACCCATCCATCATTCTAACTATTGGCCTGCTCTACTCCATTTTAGTCTTGCTATCCTTTTGATGACGTCATTCAACTTGGTTCTTCTCCTTACCTCTTCGTTTTTCTTTCTAGCATGTATTTCTCTATTCTTTGCTGTGTAACTCTGAGTATGATAGTTGAGACTTTTGTTAATGTAAGTATTTCTGGTTCGTATATAAACGCTGGTAGGATGCATTAATCAAATACTTTTCTCTTGATGCTTGTGGGCAGCTCACTTTTAAAGGTTTCTCTCCGTTTGGCATACGCTGCCTAACCAAGACTGATTCTTCTATTCAGTTCATGGGTTTGATTATTCCTGCCAGTCATAATTTTATGTCCTAGGTATTTATATTTATCTACGAGTTTCACTTTTTTGCCCACCAATACCTATGTCTGGTTGGGTATCAAATTTGTCATTCCTTTTGTTTTCGAGATCTTTATTATTTTCAATAAATATTAATAAATATATAGTACATATAAAATGGTGTACATAGTGGATAGACTACATAACAATCATCCACACATAACCACGATTGACCGGTTTGAGATTGTGACCTCATATTTATGTCTGGGATCATTGATCACAAAAACAGGGTCACTAAAGGAAGAAATAAAACGTAGATATGATCCAGCAAAAGTCGCCTTAGGAAGGATGGCCAAAATATGGAAGGACTCTCAAATTTCACGAACTCTGAAAATAAGGTTGATCAATTGCTAAATATTCCCAATACTGACATACGGATGTTAATTTTGCACTCCATAACAAACAGAAAAAGAAAGATGAACGCCACTGAAATGTTCTCTTGGAGAAGTATATTACGAATTCTGAGGACCGACCTCAGGAACATTTCAATTTTAAATGAGCACATGGTCAGCAAACGGCTGTCCGGCAAAGTCCGTCTCCAACAATTAAAATATTTTAGACATGTTATGAGAGCAGATACAGAAAACATGGAAAGGCTTGAAAGAAAAAAAATATCCAAGGAAAGGAAGACGGCTGCAGATCACAAAGAAGATCCCTAACAAGATAAACCAATCAAATTACAGGAATATACAAAAGACCTATGCATGAGTTAAAACAAATGACCAGAAAAAAGATCTTTGGAGGCAGACCGACAAAAAATTGTTAGAATAGTTGACAAAGTTAGAATTATGTTAACAATTTATTTATTAAGAATTCCAGAAAAATATTTTTCACAAAAAAGTTTCACACGGCCTTAAACCTATAATGTAATGCTCATATTTATTTTTTTAGTCGTATGGAGGCTTTTATACGGAATAAGGATGAACGTCAAAAAAACCAAATATATGACCTTCAGTAAGAATCCAATACATGACACTAGTATCGCAATAAATGGTACCCAACTTGAAAAAGTAAGCGAATACAAATACTGGGAACCGGGCTATAAGAACCGGAATATCATTCATTCTATGGGCGTCGAGGTCTACCTTTTTTCTTCTTTACGGTGCTTTCATCTGTTTAAGGGCCAAGTTTTTGGGACCAACGTTAGTCAGCTATTCTCAGTAGGTGTCAAAACCATTTTAAACCTCTTCTTTCTATTCTGTCAATAACCGTTTCTGTAGCATTAATGTTATTTCTTATAAATTCGTTGGTCTTCCTTTCCAGCCTTAATGTTTAGCACTTTTTCTCAAATAATCCATTTCAACTGCCAACAATCTTCTCTTCAGGTCTTCAATAATTGTCCATACTTCAAGAGTCATAGCAAAGAACTGATTCAACCATGGTTTGCCATATTGTTTTTTTGTTTATTTTGATAAAGTTGCGATCCCACCAATGAAAATTAGTTCCAAGTTTGTTCTCAAACTTAACGCAATATGTTAATTCTCCAAGAAGAGAAGGAAGAACAAAAGTTGATAATATCAAATCTAAATAAAAAAAAAATAAAAATGTTAACGAAATTATTTTATGTCTTAATATAGAAGGTGCTTGTCGAAAGAAGATTATTTTAAAACGAGGAAAAAGTTTGAGAATATTTTAGACTTTTTAGGGATTTATTTGAAACTCTTACAAATTATAAGGTATGATATTACTAAAAAACCCTACAAAAGAAGACATCACTTAATTATGACTATTAATTATACACCTAATTATAACTATTACAATAATAATAACTATATAAAAATACAATTATATTTCGGTATAGGTAGATGTGTACGATGTGAGTTCAGCTGAAGGTTTGCGTCCAAATCAGATCGCAGTTGACTCCAGCGCACACCGTCGACGTACACGGAGTGCGTTCAGCTTAGCAGAACCTAACAAAGCGTTACCATAGAGCATTCCTTTAATTTTGACGAACGTACGCGGCGTTCGACTGACTGAGTTATGCGCCGCTCACTATTGTAATAAACCATATATATTTATAGCTTAAATATTGAAATTTTTCCACTTGTGTAATTTCCACGTCCTCGTCCAGCAACACTTCAAACCTTGCATCTTAATTGATAACTTAATATTCTGTTTTCTTCATTCTGACTTGTAACTCCCATTGCATTTTACATACTTATTTTATCAGCTGCTAAAACATGTTTTGGGGGAAACGTCAGCCAAAAAAGCGAATTCTGTTTCACTTTCAAAGAACAAATAATGTCTAAAACAAATAAACTCCAGTGTTTTTTCTCCTTGTAAACGAACGGAAGTACCGATGTAGCTTATGCAGTTAATGGAAACTATTGCCGCTTTCTGAATGGAAATAAAATTAAACGAGAATTCTTGTTTTGCGTGAATACTTTTATTACAAAACATGGTTTGGATTATCTGAAGTGCGTGGCGGTATGTTAAGATTTTTTACAGACACTTACGTGTTCAGTAACTTTAGTCCATGATTATTGACTTATAGCCTACCATGTAAGTATATCATATGTATGTATTATATAAATTCATTTAAAAACAC